GCAACTGAGTGTATTTCTCGAAAACAGTCCAATTTGGGTTCAAGTAGAACATAAGGTTGACGGAAACTCGGGGGCTGCGCCTACCTGATGAGCCCGAAACAGAAGGCCGAAACCGGTCGTGGGCTGTCGAAGAGTTTTCAGCAACCTTGTGAGTAGTTTCCTTTATGAACTTTTAGATATTCACGTTCTCAGTTTTGATCATTGATGATCGTTCGGTTGATCAGGTCCCCATAAGTGGTTCAAGTCCACATGAGTTAGCGATGAGAAACTAACTGACTTTGGTATCACACATTCCATACGAGCTGGCTTCATCCACACTCATGTTCATTCCAAATTTCGTCCTTGTTAACAACTCTAGTCTTGTTCCCTCTAACTCAGTTGTTGATTTTCTGTTATTGATTTTCTGTGCCCTTTTTTGTCTTGTGCTCTGAGCAGTTTTCAGAAGATTAGGTTTCTCATATCGTTTTCCGTTTAACTGCAATATGAGAAAGAAAATTTTCATATCCCTAGTGAGAGCGACTTGAGCACCGATTGCAAACTGCCAGTTGTTTCTGACAGAATAAGTTAAACCGAACAAACAAGTTGGGCAACCTCGAAAAAGTACTCTCGTTTGTACATGTATTAGGTTGTGACAGAAGATTCAGCTTGATTCACCTGAGTCTCTCGTTTATGATTATCTGCTGTCGAAGCGTTTTCAGCAACATTTTGAGTACCGTGCTACTTTCAGCTCGATCATCTGTCCACAAGTGGTTCAAGTTCACATGAGTTAGTGATGAGAAACTAACTGACTTTGGTATCACACATTCCATACGAGCTGGCTTCATCCACACTCATGTTCATTCCAAATTTCGTCCTTGTTAACAACTCTAGTCTTGTTCCCTCTAACTCAGTTGTTGATTTTCTGTTATTGATTTTCTGTGCCCTTTTTTGTCTTGTGCTCTGAACAGTTTTCAGAAGATTAGGTTTCTCATATCGTTTTCCGTTTAACTGCAATATGATAAATAATTGTGTGGCAGAAAGAAAATTTTCGTATCCCTAGTGAGAGCGACTTGAGCACCGATTGCAAACTGACAGTTATTTCTGACAGAATAAGTTAAACCGAACAAACAAGTTGGGCAACCTCGAAAAAGTACTCTCGTTTGTACATGTATTAGGTTGTGACAGAAGATTCAGCTTGATTCACCTGAGTCTCTCGTTTATGATTATCTGCTGTCGAAGCGTTTTCAGCAACATTTTGAGTACCGTGCTACTTTCAGGTTACTCGATCATCAGGGAGAAATTGTTGCATATGCGCGTCACCCTTTAACCGGTTTCTTTTGTTACCCACCCACTTACCTACTGGAAAGCCCGTGTGAGACATTCACAAACCCATCCAGATTTATCGGAGTCATGATTAGCCATACATTGAACAGGAATGGTCAGAAAGGAGTAGTGATCGATCCGAATATCGAGCGGTTAAAAATTGTACACACTTAAGGAACGGAGGTTGAATATTCCAGAGTTGTACGGTTCAGATCCACCTGTTTCGGTTTTTTCTACATTTGATCGGGTATAGACTACCATACCTTGTGATTTCACCTCAGCTATCTGCTTCTTGGGTGCTTTGGATTACACACCTGACTGATTGCTGCAACCTAGACGACTGGTTCTTGTCCGTGTTGCTTGCCTGGCTTTTGTGCCTCATGGGTCAGCTGTTCTGGTACCGAACTATCAAGAAACACTTCAGTTCGTATGCCGCTTTACTTATCATTCTGATCCTGCTTAACTTTAGCTCCATTCATGATTCACCTCATCACGTTTACTCCCCCCCCCGCCGGTTTAGTTTGACCGTCCGCCAACTGCCCGGTTTATCTCCACTGGATCAGATGTACCTGTTGGGTATTGCGGATCTGATGGCCAACGTACAAACAGATGTGACGGACCGTTTGGGTAACACGAATCCGGACACCAATCCCGTGCCCATCAAAGATGGTACTACCACGTCGGCCAGACCGATTCAGCCTAACCATGGTTAGTTATCCGTTGGCTATAGGATCGGGGACATTTTTGTCGATTACCATTTCCTTGTTGTTTAACGAAAAGTCTGTCATTTGAAGCTTTTTTTAGCAACGCCTTGTTCCATTACCTCCCGAGGCATCTGATTGCTTTCTTCCAAAAAATATGCCGCTTTCCTATTTGCAGGTCTGGACGAATGTGGCCTCCGCTTCCTGCTCACCGTCCAACTCTACTCGTATTTGAGTCGCACTCTTCCACCGGCTAGACGAGCCCACTTACTGGTATGTTTTAAAAAAACTCATCCATTGACAATGTACTCAAATGTCGGTGCGTTTATTGGCTGCTGGTCAGATTGCTCGTCGCCACAACACGTTTGCAAGTCAATTGGCTGGCAAACAAGTCGGCAGACATTTGATCAGCATCATCCATTTCTGTGTTACAACTCTGAAGAGATCATTTCTGGTCAGTCCGTTTAGAGGGTGCTCGTTGTATTCGGTTTTCTTCTTTTGTCTGATGCAGCTCTCACCCACTAGATTGGATTTGTTCCATTCATGTGTAGTCATACCTTCTGGTTATGCTCCCCTTATCACATAGGCCCGTTCCGTGGAATCGTGTGTGAGTTTTGTTTTCGCACGATCGTCCTCGTTCTCGTGTGACGTTCAGAACCTAACTGAGGAGATAATCAGCACACTTCGCAATTCCGCCCTCATCCCTGCATTGTGATTTATCTTTCCAACAAGTTATCTCGCTGTTTGCACTACCTATTTTTGTTTTTGAGTGATCACTGTGTTTGTTTTCGTCTTGTCAGCCTATCCAACAGAAATCAGCTCATCATTGACTTTTTGTTGAATGGGCGATCAGATCGTTGTCCTATCTGTTTATAGATACGTAGGGGTTCTCTCCAAGGGGGAGGGATGCGGTCCCTTGAGATTCAGACAAGCGTGAAACGCTTTTGTGTCAGCAAACTGTTTTGTTTTATTTGCTTCAGTCATCGCCCAATAGTATCAGTTTCTTCTGGATTTAATCAACACTAAACACATCGAGTGCGGCATTGATTGCCTCCGCAGTTCCCCTATCTAAGGCGAATTTTCCTCACTGCAGTCGACAGTATCCTTCCGTTTTCGATGCTGTATTCCTGGATCTTTCAACTTTCGAGCTGTTCTGCAAATGTTAGCTCGATAAGATTTACTTCCAAAGGGCTTCCCTGTATTATTAATAACCTGTCTGAACAGGTCATCAGGGGAAGTTAACGATTCTGATTTTACAACAACGGTTTCAACGCCAAACACACCGATGGATGCCTGTCTGGACAGAACATACTACTCATAAAGACGCTGAAAATGAATCCATTTCGTGTAGCCGAGTTCATTGCATGGCTGAACAGACAGTGTAGGTGGTTCAGCCGTTTCATACTCTCAAGGGGCGTGCATTGAGTTGATTACTGTTTATCGCCCTTCAACATTGTTCATTCGATGTTCTTGCCTTGCATGTACAGTGGTTCGAAGTTGGCGGTGATTAGAGCAAGGGCTTCAACACGCAGCGGCCATGTTTCGCAACAAAAGGGATTGCTAGTCAACCTGTGAACCCACATCACTTCGTCGCTGTCGATTCATGAGCTGGATGATGGCTGCGACAGCTTCGAATTCCCGGGGCAACACACTTCTATTCGAGTGTGAATCTCTGTCAGTTTTGAAGTGTACTCTTGGTCGGATGAACTGGTCGTCAGAATGAAATTCCGTTGGCTTTCACATTCACTTCTTGTTGTGTCTTGCTAAACGGTAGTGCAACTCGTATCTCTGTTCCCTTAGCTTCCTGCTCCAACCACTATGGTGTATCGAAAGGCACCGTAGCTCTACACAACCATATTTATAGGGCAATCACAGGGTATTCCACAAGGTCATGCCAGAATCTCCGTGAGGGGGCGAGAAGCGTCGAGTCAAAGGTGCTTGACTCGGATTAGCTGGCATTCTGACCAATCAGGGCATGTCTTCGTTTTGCCCGTGTCCTGCACGTGACACCCGTCAAAATGATGTGGTGTTCGGTTGTTAGGGCCGGCTGACCTCCGTGCACTTCTTTGGTCCGTTTTCTTTCAAATCGGAAAGACAGCTGAAACTTGCCACTTTCCAAATGTCCCACATTAGCCGTACCTTTATCCTTTATTTTTTTGATTAGGACGGGAGTAAGAGGCCTCCTCGATGGATGTAGGTTGATTCCCTGAAAAACTTCGTCTTGAATTGACAGTGATTTATGTCCTACTGCAGTAGTTGTTGAGTTATCGCCAAATTGAGCGCCGGTGACCATGATGCCACTTTCCTTCTGTGGTGACGAAAGCCGACTGCGACGCACACACTCCTCAAGTAGACTTATTTGTCCTTACGGCTGCCATGATGTTGTTTTTATATAACCCACATCATCTTTGTGTTACCACTCTATACGATTATGTGTGACCTATACCGACCACCACAGTTTGCGCTTTCCTCTGTGAATGTATGCGGTTGATGTGAATCTATTTATCATTGCGGTATTTTATCGGTGTCCCCCTCTTCGTTATCACAGTCATCTGGCCTGACAAACTCCAGCTTGGCTTGGGCGTTTCATTCGGATGCTACAGAGGAACTCCTGGCTCGTATACCAACAAAGCAGTTCGCTCCGAATTCCGAGGAACTGACCTGGGTCGAATTCAAACGTTACGGCTGTGGATGGTGGATTCGGAGCGATACGCTACTGCGTCGGTGTGTGGAAAAGGTACGTGACCGTTTAGGTGTGTGCTGTCTGTATGGGGCGAGCCTGGACAGAAAAAAAAACAAGAGGCATAACGCAGGTGATTAAGAGCCGTTTTGCTGATGAACATGCCGGACATCAGTGATTAGTAAACCATTTTGCACTCGCAAAATATCGGTTGTTTCCTATAAAAGTGTTGAAATAACTCTTACTCGGTAGTTACAATGCAATAATGAGGTGCGCCACCCATCCGGAGGGGCGAGATGGACCAGGTGGTTAGAGCCCGAATCCACTGACCGGAAGGTTCGTGGTTCTAACCCGGCCTCTGCCTCTCAAATTCCCCTGTCTAGGCCTGGGCAACCTGGCGGCATCCCAGCCCTCGTGCCCCTTTCGGGTGGCGTGGTAGCTAGACACCGACAGGGTTTTACAGCTGAACGATTTTTCATCCTGTATGGTTGACACCTGGGGATAAAAGCTATGCTGAATTTTTTTGATAGTTGGATCGCCTAGTATCACGCTTTCTCTATGAGGTTGACAAATTCTCTCGTGAGTCCGTTCAGCTAATCCAGGTAATTTTCGATTGATGGTTGTTGAATTTGGGAGTGACGGTTGTGGAGCTCTTCACACAACTCTTTTAGTCGATCTTCGTTGCGCAAGATCCCATAGCCCAATTAGCTGAGCCAGGTAGGGGTCGCTCCGGACCTTTTCGGTCTTTGAATAGTTGATATTATGTCCTGAGGGCTTTTTAGTTTCCAGTTTCCAGATAACAATAGCTCTGTCTGTCTGTCGTCCGAATTGACCTTGTGTCTGGGATTGTAGGCATACCACAGGACCAGGCATATTCAGCTTTACAAACTCCACAAGACGACTGAGGTTGCTGTTAGTCTGTTCGAAGTCATACCGTACCCACTTCTTGCTGGCTGCAGGTCTTTAACCCCCTAATCAACAAGATGTTGTATTTCTGAGCTCATGTGGATGTATGTTACCTTCTTTATTCAAACCAATTTGTCTTTTCGGACAGATCGCCCGAACTTCGTTTCAGCAAACCAAAGATCCTATGGAATCCGTGGTGTTCTATGCGGCAATGTGTAAGGCCAACGTTGTTGCCGGACTGTTCAAGTGAGTGCTACTGTTGTTGTGTCATGATCACAGCCTTTTGCGTTCGAGTGCCCGCAGCGAACGATCCGGTTGCGGCTTCGCCAGGTATGCGTTCTATAATTTCTTCACTGGCAAATCCTACCGAACAGCATTTTGTGAAGCGGGAAACCCCCCGTTCTCCTAGGATCCATAGATTTGTGTTTGATCACCTAGGTGCATGTATTAATTCAGTTTTGGCAGGTTTCCTTCTCCTGAGGAATAAGAGTCTTGCAGCGTAAGTTGTGAATCACCTAAGGGTCGGGACTTATTCACACTGTACTTTCGGAATTGCGGTTTTTCTCCACAGAGCGATGCTAGACAAAGCACTTTAACAATCCTACCTAATGGGGGTTGTCGCAACTTTGATGGCATTTGATTGACCTCCATATAGTTGTTCCTCTAAGAGCAGAAACCTTATCACTCGTCCCTTATCTGGGGTCGGGCAGAATGTGGACGCTCCCCAGCTAACCACGAAGAGGTCAGTTCCCGTCGGCTGGTTGCTTAATTGGTTCAAATCGGTTTAGATTTTTTTCATAAGAAGCAGTCCTGACTGCTCCACATCACGCTGACACATTCCTGAAATTGGCGCGACAGCAATTAATAGCCAATGAAAATTCTGTATTCTCTTGGTATTCTTTGTCGAAATATCCCGTTGCTGCCTGAGGAGCAATACTCTGGTGGTAGGGAGCGATATCTTTTGGCGAATCAGTGAACTGGCCTGTCGACAGAGGTTTCATTGTGCCAGTGATGTCACTTCGCTGGGGAATTGAGAAGCACTCCACTACTGTTTCATTCTTGTTAGGAATCAGCAACAATGCCCACCCACTCCCGAAGATCTCGGGAGATTCCAGTCTGCGACTTGTTTGTTGGAGGTTCGAAACATATTAGGGACGAACTGCAATCAATGTTCTCAGAAAGGAACAAAGTTTCAAAAGACGCATGAGTCATCTGAAATGGGCGAGATGGCTCAAGCGGTTAGAGCGCGAATTTACTTACCGGAAGGTGCGTGGTTCGCACCCGACTTCCGCCTTTCGACTTCCCCTGTCTAGGCTTGGGCAACCTGGCAGTATCCCAACCCTCGTACTTCCTCCGGATAGCATGGCAGCTAGGCGCCGGAAGGTTTTTACAGCTGAGCGAAGTTATCTAAAAGGCTTCATTTGAGGAACCAGTATAAGTGAATTGAAGAGTGAGTGGCTCTCTCTCTCTCTCTCAGGGTAAGCTAGTGATCAGCCGCTCGTGGCCTAATCGTATTGATCCCAACCGCTACCGGGAAGGTCACAAACCACATTCTTCCCTAGAACTTCGCGAAGTGAGCACTGCCTAATGATTCCCAAAAAAGATCAAACACTGAAACAGTGCTTCTCGTCTTTTCGCTGTAATCTGGCTTCAGTTGCAGCGTGAAATCTCGATCACGATTAGCACTACCTAGAAAGTACGGTACTAGTACTCACTAGAATAAAATCTTTTTTCACTTTCCGCAACTGTTGTATCGATTCATTTTGTCGCTCATACGCTCGCTGTTCGCTGTTATTCCAGCACTGCAACATTCATCATCCCCGTCACCTTGCAATGTTGTGTCTTGATTGCTAGCGGCGAGCATTCTGACACTCCTCCGGTTTTCAAATTCTCATTTCGTCATGTCTCTGTCGCTCTCTTTATCGCACTCACCCAGGTCGATTGGGAACAAAACACTGGAGAATTTCTTCCGTTCTGATTTCGGGCCAGGTCGTCCAGCTTGCCGCCAGGCCAAACTGAACGCGTTTCGCCTGCTCAGCCAACACCGGTACACACATGCAGCAGGCCTATTCTTGTTGGCCGGATGTCTGGACGACGCCATACGAGTTTGTTTAGATACACTCAAGGATTTGCAACTGGCTGTCGTGTTGGTTAGGTAGGCTTGCATCCCCTCTTCGATCCGTCCGTAGTCTCATCGCACTTTCTGTGTCCGTGTGCTCGCAATTTGTAAACTGAACCATCTCAGTCCCATTTTGATAAGAACACATCTTTCGAGCTCTGTGTGGGTTGATATACACGTGAGAAACCATTTTTTCACCCTGCTGTCTCTGTTCAAGCCAACTATCGAACAGTATTAGCGTGTCTATTCATTTACTCACAACCTCGTATTTGTATTCTCATCTGGACAGACTGTACACATCAAGCTTCCGTGGTATGGACCAGTTGCAGGAAGAATCTCCCTTCCATCGTCTTCTACGTCAGCACGTAATCACGAGCGATGATCCCTTCCTACGAAGCATGGCATTCTGGTCGCTGGTGAGCTTTTAAAACTCTGATTAGCGCGCTCATTTCTTGCTCATCCCGTCTCACCCATCCGTTTGAACACTGTGATTGCCTACTACTGTCAATAACGGTTATAGTGAGTCACTCAATCACTCATCAAATGTATACCTTGCCGTTATTCTCAGGGTGATCCTTTAGCATCGTTGCGCACTCTGCTACAAGGCCCCGAACCAAACGGCAGTATAACACCACCGGTCAGCCGCACCACAACGGAAGCGGATGCTTTCTCGGTGAACCTCAGTCCACAACATCCACAGCTGTTGGAGAAGACACTCAGTCTGGTCGGCTCCGAGGACGGACAACCACGCAGTAGCAACACATTGCATACGTCAGTCTATCCAAGCGTCTTCAAATTCTACACCTTCTTGCGTAAACACCCACTTGTGCTTCGTCAATGGCGTGTGGGTACTTCTAGCACCAGTATCATTGATTCTCCAGCGATGCGTCAGATGACTTGCTTGGAACGTCGTCTGTACTTCCGTACTGCGCACCACTATTCCGCCCTTGGTTGTCCCACGCTAGCTTTAGAAGTGTTGAGCAAGATACCCCCGCTACTTCCAATCGTCGAAGTGGAACGCCGCGCAAGTTCAATTATCGCTACGCTCGATCGCAGCCTATCGGGAAACGTGGAACCGATGGAGGCCTTGGCAACCGCTAGTCAGGCTACCCTGGTTCCCACGTCGAGGTAAGTTTTACTACTGCCATTGTCGGGTGCGTTTTTTTCTTTGTCGTCCTATCATTGTCGAGTGCGTTTTTTCTATTGTCGTCCTATATTGAGCTTGTACTAGATTTGTCCGAAAGTGAACTGCAATGATGGGGTCATTCAAATGTTCTCTGCTTATCAGGTGATGAATGAGCTATTGCGAAGACCACGAGGGCACATTTGTCACCGATGACTTCGGTTTCAAACTCAGCATAGTTAACCACTCGGACGCACTCTCCGAGCAAAGTTGGAGACACAGGATACCATCCAGTGTGGATAGGTTCACACGAAGAATGCAAATCCTTCCGATGTGGAATCCGTTCAATGCGCGTTCAACATGTAAGCCATAGGATTCAAGAACGATGAATTGTTCGACAGCCGCTCAGACATGGACGGTAGCACGCCAGTGTGAATTGGACGCTGATCTGGCATCGAAGCCCCAATTACGTGGCAAGTAAATTCGCTTGCATTGGCATAGTTATTAGCACGATAAAAGACCAGGGGTGATCTTCTGCATCAGAACTGTTATGCTAATGCTCGGCTATCCACATCGATAAAATGTTGGACTTTTTTTTCGTGCGGCTATCACCTCTCATCAACTGGTATAAGCTACACCCCGATTAACAAAAATACGACGGCTCTTGATGCACAGTCTATAGGTGAATCGCTGCTGGTTGGTCAAAAATTGTTTAATTCAATTTTTACAAAACTGCGCGACTACTGCCGCGATAGCTGGATCTTCAGCTGTCGACTGCTTTACGAGGCGTCCAGCTGTAGCACCCTTCCGATGCCTAGCTGTCATGCCACCCGAAGGAAGCGCGAGGGCTGAGATACTGCCAGGTTGCCCAATCCTAGACAGGAGAAGTCGAGAGGCGGAAGTCGGATTCGAACCACGGGCCATCCGGTCAGTAAATTCGCGCTCTTACCACTTGGGCCATCTCGCCCCTTGATTTACGACGTTCGATTGAACGTTCGAGTGAACCCTAACCCCGAAAATTCCACGCGGTGTTTGTTAGTTCCTTGTTCTAACGGCTAAAAACTAAAAACTGGTCAGTCTGTTGGTTTCGTCCATTGTCTTACTGAAGGGATATTGTCTGATCATAAAAATTCACTCTGTGATCCAAGTTGGGGTGATCTCGACAAATCCTTTTGACGTATCGGATATGCTCTCTCAATCGAACCTTCAACTCAGCGCACGATAGTTATTTTTTTTCGCATATCCCTTATCTAGTGGAAGAGACATGAATGTGTTTTCTCTGTGGGATGATGACAATGAGCCGGTATCGTCCACTCCCAACTTGCCATCAACGGATCCGTTCAAGATAGAATTGAGTGACAGTGACTCGGACCACAGTAACCCGATTCCAGAAACCTCCGTACGACCGGTCGAAAGTGCCACAGGATTGACTCAGGATTCCGTTGCGGAATCGTCTATTTGTGAGGGTAAGTCAAATAAATAAGCTCTATTCTTGACATGGATTCGGATGGACATACCGCGTGCAATGCTATTACAACTATTACTGCTACTAGACTACTCAAGTCCCCAGATGGTCACTGAATGCACACAGACTGTTGAGATGGCATGCACTAGCCCGCATAAGCAGCACAACACGCCACAAGTGCGTGAAATGCCATTATGGATTGCACAATACAAGAAAATCTTGCAAACTCAGTATCTTATTATGAGTGATACGATCTGACTTATTTGATTTTTCAACTTCCAAGTCACCAGCAAGATTTCCTCTCGACAGCTCATTTGAATCTTTTAGGTTTGTGACTCTAGGAGCTTCATAGGAGAAAATGTTGGTACCAAAATGCAGCGGATGAGTAAAAGTGATAAACAAGTCACAAACTTTAGTTGATGCATTTCCTGTCCATCTGTCCACCGACGCAGTAGGTCCAGAAAAAACGGAAGACAACTCCTGAGGTTCAAATCTAGTTGGACAGCGACTGAATCGAAGAGATACCGCTAGTGTGCAGTTTCCACTCAGTCTAACACTTGAAGTTCGCGCGCGTGTCTGTCTTTAGTCGATACTGGTTGAGCTGATAGCTGCCTCTCTGGGAAGTGACCTTCAGGTTTGTGGTCCCCTGGGCCAGTCGCTTCTCAATAATTAATTTCTATTTTTCTTTTTCCCACTTGACTCCATCAGTCGTGGTGATGGGCTCCCAATCCCTCCAGATCTGTCTGCAAAATCAGGCAACAATGGAGGAACGTGCACCAATCGGTCGAAACGCGAAGTTAAACGCGTAGAACTACGTCGTACTCGGTTATGTTGTGCTTAAAAACACACCAGTGCCTCCAGGTATCGGACAGTTCTGTACAAGGACATCCGCATTTATCAGTTCAATACAACATAGGCTACTCATGTAGTATGTCTAACTCTCTTTGTTCAACAAAATGTTATCGTACGATCACCCTATCTGAAGGTGACGGACGCTGCGATTTCTGTTCAACCTATTCCCGTTGGTTACCTTCACGGGGTTTATATATTCAAGTGAGCACAGCTCATCTTCCGCAGAATCCTCCAGTTGCTCTTGAACGATGGGGCAAACAGTGGTAGTACAGAGTTTGATCGTCGGGTTTGTAAGACTGTTTTTTGTAGTTTAGTTCTCAGCCATACCGTTCGAAAACTTCCGGAACAGTTGTTCCGGAGTGTTCCGGTGGATTGCTTGATTGAATATATCCCACTCTGCTTTATCTTTTTCTGTCGTTCGCAGAAGCTGAAGGAATGGTGGATTTGATCGCGAATCAGCTGAAATTCATAGCATGCTTGAAAATATTGTCGGAAGAGCTGAGCACTTTGGCCTCTGGGGCCGAGGTAAGTTGTCTAAATCTCCCTACTCTACTCATTAATTTTATGTCGACATCAATAAGATACCCGGTTTTCTTCAGACCATGTTTGAAAGCCGGATTGGTGTACCAGTTTGTACTACCTATGCGTATTGATGAGTAGCATTTAGTCACGGCACACAAAGACTAGATCCGCCTTCCTTATCTGATACAGTCATCCACCCTCTTTGAGGAATTTCGGGAATTTCTTTTCGAAATTCAGTCCTGCGATCAAACTCGGTGTGCGACAAAAAAAGAGGAGATGGAGAAGAACAATGATTTCCGAGAAGCCATTTGTCTGCTCCCGTTCCCTAGCTCTTCCGTCTGTTTGTATTGAAGCTTTTTGTCTACGGAATTCCTGGATTCACGATTGGAAGCACACTCTAATTGGACCATGTTTATACTAGTCGGATCTTTTTCTACCTTACACTATTCCGAATCACCTGTTTAATATCAAACTCCAACAGCCCCACACGAGATATTATTTCCCTACAGTTGTGCTCTTACGTAGTATATTTGCCACTTTGTGTACGGAGGCCAGCTGTCCCTAATGACCGAACATCACATCATTTGGACGGATGTGTCACGTGCAGGACACGGACCAAACGAAGGCACGCTCTGATTGGTCAGAATGCCAGCCAATCCGGATCGAGCACCTTTGACTCGACGCTTCTCG